TTCATAGGTGTTCTAATCCTTCCCCACTAACAAAAAGTTTTGCCTTTTGGTTATACTTTAATGCGCACGAGTTAACACATACTGTGTAAATGTCTATTTATTTGAGCACACCAGTGCAAACAAAATTTACATTTACAATTTTTGGCAGCTTGCTGTGCAGCAGTGTGTTATGTACAAGTGTATTTTATGTGATAGACCAACACAAAGTGGCACATAATTGTGAAGTGGAAGGAAAATGATAAATGGTCTTCAAACTTTTTTACAAAAATCTGAAAAGTGTGGCTTGCATTTGTATTCAGCCCCCTTTACTCTGATACCCCTAACTAAAATCTAAAGGAACCATTGCCTTCAGAAGTCACCTAATTAGTACATAGAGTCCACCTGCGGGTAATTTAATCTCAGTATAAATACAGCTGTTCTGTGAAGCCCTCAGAGGTTTGTTAGAGAACAATAGTGAACAAACAGCATCATGAAGGCCAAGGAACATACCAGACAGGTCAGGGATAAAGTTGTGGAGGAGTTTAAAGCAGGGGTAGATTAAAAAAAAATATCCAGAACATCTCACGGAACACTGTTCAATCCATCATCCAAAAATGTAAAGAGTATGACACAAGTGCAAACCTACCAAGACATGGCCGTCCTTGGAGAACATTAATCCGAGAAGCAGCTAAGAGACCCATGGTAAATCGGGAGGAGCTGCAGAGATCCACAACTCAGATGGGAGAATCTGTCCACAGGACAACTATTAGTCGTGCACTCCACAAATCTGACCTTTTATGGAAGAGTGGCAAGAAGAAAGCCATTGTTGAAAGAAAGCCATAAGAAGTCCCATTTTCAGTTTGCGAGAAGCCATGTGGGGGACACAGCAAATGTGGAGGAAGCTGCACTGGTCAGATGAGAACAAAACTCAACTTTTTGGCCTAAAAGTAAAATGCTATATGTGTGGTGGAAAACTAACACTGCATGTCACCCTGAACACACCATCCCCACTGTAAAATGTGGTGGCAGCATTATGTTGTAGGGATGGTTTTCTTCAGCAGGGACAAGGAAGCTGGTCAGAGTTGGAGAAGATGGATGGAACCAAATACAGGGCAATCTTAGAAGAAAACCTGTTCGAGTCTGCAAACAACTTGAGACTGGGACAGAGGCTTACCTTCCAGCAGGACAACGACCCTAAACATACAGCCAGAGCTACAATGGAATCAAAGCATATTCATGTGTTAGAATGGTCCAGTCAAAGGCCAGACCTTAATCCAACTGGGAATCTGTGGTGAGACTTGAAAATTCCTGTTCACAGACCCTCTCCATCCAATCTGACAGAGCTTGAGCTATTTTGCAAAGAAGGATGTGCAAAAATGTCACTCTCTAGATGTGGAAAGCCGGTAGAGACATCCCCAAAAAGACTTGCAGCTGTAATTACAGCAAAAGGTGGTTTTACAAAGTATTGGCTCAGGGTGGCTGAATACAAATGTATGCCACACTTTTCACATATTTATTTGTAAAAAAGTTTGAAAACCTTTTCTCACTTTCCTTCCACTTCACAATTATGTGTCACTTTGTTTCAGTCTATCTCATAAAATCCCAATAAAATACATTTAGGTTTTTTGGTTGTAACATGACAAAATGTGGAACATTTCAAGGGGTATGAGTACTTTTTTAAGGCACTGTATTTATGCAGAATTAATTCAACTGTATAAAATCAATTGTACGTTTATAAACCATGCAACTTTTATACAAACCTCTTCCACAAGGGAAGAAATGTGACAGTAAATCTTCAATGAGGTGCCTGTGTGTTACACCTTTCAGGATGAACACCATTGGTATAATGCACTGACCACTTGTTACCCTATGTTGTTCGCCCATTTTGTAACATGGCTGAAAGGCACAGGAAAGCCCTTGGTTCCTACGATCTTGATAACACTCATTAAAGGAGGGTCCCATATAAAGAAAGGAGAAAAAGCTTATAGTATAAACAACTTCTTTATTAAAAGGTCACACTATTAACAATTTAGAGTGCTCAGCCCAGCACTAAGGATCTGACAGCTATGACATGAATCAATCGCTTCATGCTCCGCGTGCCATCTCTTTTTCTGATATCACAGTACTCAAGTTCCGCCCAGCACCTTTCATCTATGCAACTGCTGATAATACTACTATAGATGAAACCCACTGAGCGGGACTTGAGTACTATCAGCCAGCACACACTGAGTGGAGGCACATTTTGGGATAGCCGCACTGGGTAGGATGGCTGTGCGGTTGAAGTTAATACAAAGAAATGGCTGTCAAGAGCTCTCTATGCCCCCCCTTTCCTGCCAGATCCACAATTCATGAAAGTCAGTGATATGGTGGCTGCATTAGTTTTCTTTTAGGCTTTCTTTTATTTTCACCTGGTGATCTGGCTGGTAAGTCTATTTTTCAACATAACCAGCTTTCCTGCAGAAGTATCAGTTGGAGGGTTAAGGCACACTATTTACTACTGACGGGTGCTTACAGTGTTCAGCTTTTATTAATTTATGTAAAACCTTTACCCCAAATGGAACAAAATTGTTGTAATGTTTTAAAAAGACTTTGGCTTCAATTTGTTTAGTGTTTTTAAAACTACTAGCACATCTAACATATCCTTCCCCCAAATGGACAGTACTGCTGTCCAAAGCTGGCTCTGTGCTTATTCATCCAGAGTGGGGGCACTCTTAATACAGGAGGTGTTAGTAGCCAGATCACCAGGTGAAAACAAAGGGAAAAAGTGTTACAAAAAAAAAAAAAAGAAAACTAATGCAGAAACCATATCTAAGGATTTGTAAGCTGGAACACATTACATTATTGGTTTTGTGCTTAATACCACTTTAAGAGCAGCTCTGAGCTGGTATAAGGAGGTGCAGCAGTACTCGGTGGGGCATGTCTTTGGTGCTGGGAAGCTGTCATAAATGTGACAATTTCCCTCACACAGTATTGTATGCCCAATACCATTCAGCTGGGAGATTCCTTGTCCCAAAGCTAAATGTAAACAGGGATAGTGATGTTACCCAAATGGCAATGCCCATATTTGGGAATTGATTTTGCCACTGGGTGGATGGAGCCTGACGAGGAATTGAGATGCTAGTTCTACATTAGGTCCACCTGGCTCTTGATTGACAGCACATGGCAGTGAGTGGCTTTGAAAGCTGGCAAACTGAATATTGGCCACGGACCTGATGGAGAACTAGTCTTATATATATATATATATATATATATATATATATATATATATATATATATACACACAGATACTATATTGTCAAATGTATTGGTACACCCCTCCAAATCATTGGATTCAGGTGTATAAAATCAAGCACCAAGGCATGCAGACTGCTTCTACAAACATTTGTGAAAGAATGGGTCACTCTCAGGAGCTCAGTGAATTCAAGCTTGGCACCGTGATAGGCTGCCACCTGTGCAATAAGTCCATCGGTGAAATTTCCTTGCTACTAAATATTCCATGGTCAACTGTTTGTGGTATTATAACAAAGTGGAAGCATCCGAGAACTCAGCCACAGCGTAAAATGACAGAGTGGGGTCAGCGCATGCTAAAGAGCACAGTGCACAGAAGTCACCAACTGTCTGCAGAGTCAATAGCTTAAGACTTCCAAATTTCAGATTGTCACAGCAGTGTGTAGAGAGCTTCATGGAATGTGTTTCCATGGTCGAGCAGCTGCATCCAAGTCTTACATCACCTGTGTGGTGGAAAACTAACACTCCACATTACCCTGAACACACCACTGCTGTCATATGTTATAAATTTGTCAATTTAATATTTTTTCCCAGTGATTGAGACAAATTCTGACAACATCCTATTTTTATTCTTCGTTATTCTACGTGCTCTGCATCTTTTGCATTTATAAACTCCTTTTCTATCTAGAAAGGTTACCTGTTTTCTGGGAGGATGTATTACATATTTTGCTACCATATTCCTAAGCCCCAGAGCTCTCTTCTATATAAACAGGGTATTTTGGTAAGCTCTTTTTTAATTAAACTTTTCAGATATTTATTTGTGAAAAAAAAATACTTTAAGCGATACACCTTGTACTAATCTGACTTTAGTAAAGAGGCTTCTTACTAGTTGTCATAGGTTCTGCATGTATATAAACACACTGGGGTAGATTTACTAAAACTGGAGCACTCAGATGCACTCTAGTGTGGTTGTGCATGGCAGCCAATCAGCTTCTAACTTCAGCTGGTTCAATTAAGCTTTAACAATAAAATCTGGAAGCTGATTGGATTCTATGCAGATTCACACCAGATTTTGCACTTCAGTTTTAGTAAATACCCCCCCCCCCCCCCCCCCCCCCCCCCCCCCCCCCGCTGTTATTCCAGAATCCATGACTATACTGCACAAGACTTCTATGTTAGGAAAAATATTATATTTACCCATTGCTGTGTCTGTAATAGGTGTCTAGTTCTATGTATGTATTTAGAGAAGTCAGCAATTTCCTAGCCACTGGCCAGTGTCTTCTGCTGTCAGACAACGTAAGTATTTTACCTAATTTTATCAGTATTAAATGTTGCATAATTTGATTAGAGAATCTTCTGGGGTCTATCTATTATTGCTTTCACACAATATTCAAACAACTGTTACCCAAGGATTCAGACTTTTTTTTAACTGCACCTATTTAAATCAAGACTGTTTGCCTTGTCTTTGCGCTGTAGTTGCGTTGGGCAATGCCACCCAATGCACCTCTATGCCTGTGCTGTGACTCAGCCGTTAGGGACCATGCTTAGATCTACATTATGGATAGTCATTATTTATTGTGTCTGTAACAAAGCACAAAAAGTAACAATGGGATTGATTTACTAAAATTGGAGTGTGCAAAATCTGGTGCAGCTGTGCATGGTAGCTAATCAGTTCCTAAGGCTGGCCATACACTATACAATTTTCTGTTCAATTTCTACCCAATTTCCTTTAGATTTACCTTCAACTATGTAGTGCAAGGTCCTGCCTAATTAGATACAATTGAAAGTATTGTTTAGGTTTGACCTCATATTATATGGTTTTTGCTAAATCTAAAGCAATTTTCTAAAGAAAATTGTATAATGTATAGCCAGCCTTACTTCAACTTGTTCAAGTAAGCTTTGACAATAAAACCCGGAAGCTGATTGGTTTCTGTGCAGAGCTGCACCAGATTTTACATTCTCCAGTTTTAGTAAATCAGCTTTAATGAGTCAGGCTCTGAGTGAAAATCTTCCTTGATAGATAACCATGCAGGGTTTCCCATCTCTGTGATATCTGTTATGGATACGCAGAGGTGGTTTCAAAGGAACTGACCACATCATTTTGCCTCGGAGTTGCCAAAACGTTTGGTAAAACCATGGCACACATATCTTGGCACTATTCTCTTCCAATAAACCAATGTGGCATTTTATTTGGCTGGCATTATCAGATTTTGGCTGTAGGTGAAGTTAAACATCAAATATACCATAAATGTGACTACATTTTACAGCTGACTAGATAATGTGGCACTCTGTAGGATAAAGGTCTCTGTGTGCTCATTGGTACATCTGATTTTTAACAACCATAAAGTAAAACAACAGTGCAATTCTATTAATGTCATGCGAAGGAGCACATATGTATGACAGATAAAATACAGAAAGGTTTACCACATATGCACTGCACATTTAAATGAACATCCCTGTATGACTCATGAAAGAGGTCAAATATGCAATGCATGGTTGCTACTCCCCCCCGTACACTACGTACAACAGTTATAAGAAATGTCCCATGAGCATTTAATGAGATGCCAGCAGCATGAATTTGAGTCCCAACTGTCTTTTTTTTCTAGGCCAGGCCTGAAATGTGAACATAAATTCTTCTTAATCTGCTGTGAGAGCAGCTCATTGTTTTTATAACTGTACTCAACTGGTACAACTTTGAACACCTTTTGATTTCATGTACTTGGAATGTGCTTAGCTAAATAATTCATTTGGGCTTAAAATTGTATTTCCACTTTGCAGTCAGATTTTAGAAACCCCTAATATACATTTGGTATGCGTCTCCATTCAAATTCCAAACCTAAAAAATAATTTAAAAAAATATATTTTTAGCTGTTTGTTTTGGACAGGGTTATACATAGGCCCCTACAACCAGCTTCCGACTAGATGGCAATGAACAGACAGGCTACAGAAGTAGGGGGTGTTATTTTTTTAGTGCATTAATATACAATGGACCAGCCGGGCTGGGACATCTTTAACCCTTTTGTTTGGACAGGCAGCCCTGCTCATTTAATGTACAAATGATAATGAAATCTGCCAGCACAGTACAGGCAGGGTTAATTATGGCAAACACAAACTTCCAGCCCTCTCATAAACAGGGAGCACTAAGTAGGATTTTTCAGTCCATTATATTCTCTGACAGTGCACACCACAGCTCACATTTTATGGCATATTCATAAAATGCAGGTCATGGTGTAGAGCCTGTGAAGCCCCATGGAGTTCCCTCTGATCAATGCAACAGAGAGTTCTCTGTGATTGGAGCAGAGCTGATAATGTGACTTTGACAGGTCATGGGGCCAGGCTCTCCTCCAGGCTTTTTTCTTTGTTCAGCTACGAAGGAAATGCTGGATATGGTTCACGGTAAATGGCTGGTCTAGAACCAGCTGGTAACTATACATAATAATAAACCTGATACGTACACAGAGGCTCAAAACAGGTGAAAATTGAGTCATGATTAGTGTCCATTAATTACAAGTGACAGCAAAGAAAGCTGTGTATCACCAAATAGAGAACAATTTGCAAAAGACCTAAGTGTGCAGTGTTTGTGTGCAATATATCTCCTCCTCACTATATGATTTAACCCAGGGGTCCTCAAACTGTGGCCTGTAGCCCACATATGGCCCGCCAAAGACATTTACCCGTATCGCTGTGCCAGCCGGAAAAAAAACCTGGCGCCGGGCCAGCAAATAGCTAGGCTGCTCGCTACACAACGAGCAGTGGCCTGGAAGCCCATGATTTTACCCGCTGCAGCCAGAGGAGCAACAGGAGAGCACACCAGGCACAGTGCATTACAGAATACAATGCATTGTGCTGTGAATACAGTTCATTGTGCTGTCCAGTGCGATACAGTGTACAGTGCATTTTGGTGTCAAGTGCATTACAGAGTACAGTGCATTGCGGTGTCCAGTGCATTACAGTACAGTGCATTGCGGTCTCCAGTGCATTACTGTACAGTGCATTGTGGTGTCCAGTGCGCTACAGTCGTACAGTGCAGTGCATTGCGGTGTCCAGTGCGCTACAGTGTCCAGTGCATTACAGAGCACAGTGCATTGCGGTGTCCACTGCGTTACAGAGTGCAGTGCAGTGCATTGCGGTGTCCAGTGCGATAGAGTACAGTGCATTGTGGTGTGCAGTGCACTACAGTGTACAGTGCATTGCGGTGTCCAGTGCTTTACAGTGTACAGTGCATTGCGGTGTCCAGCGCGTTAGTGTACAGTGCATTGCGGTGTCCAGTGCGCTACAGTGTCCAGTGCGTTACAGAGCACAGTGCATTGCGGTGTCCACTGCGTTACAGAGTGCAGTGCATTGCGGTGTCCAGTGCGATACAGAGTACAGTGCACTGTGGTGTGCAGTGCTTTACAGTGTACAGTGCATTGTGGTGTCCAGTGCTGTACAGTGCATTGCGGCATGCAGTGCGTTAGAGTACATTGCGGTGTGCAGTGCGTTACAGAGTACAGTGAATTGCGGCATGCAGTGTGTTACAGTGTACAATGCATTGCGGTGTGCAGTGCGTTACAGAGTACAGTGTGCATGTGCAGTGTGCAGTGCGTTTTAAATATTGTATTGTTTTTTTCCCTGTTGTTCACATATTTGTTCTACCAAGCAAGCGCTCTCCTCTAATATAGGTTTTGGGCATAAGGTGCTACAAGTGGCTCTCTGAGTCTGTTGAGCCTTTCTTTAGCATTTTGTCATGTGGAACGGTTCACCTTTGCTGTGCTACCCACCACTTACGTACTGTAAAACTACGCAAATAGAATTTTTGACTTACCAGTAAATTCAGTTTCTTGAAGTACCATACAGAATATGTGCCCCCCCCCCCCCCCTAGTTCTTATGATCTCCCTTTTGTTACTACAAACCTAAGGCTAGATGGGAAGAAGAAGCCAGTGCCCGTGTCCAATCAGCTGAGGGTATGTCTGCCTATTTAATGTTCCCCTTATCTCTTCCTTAAACACTGCACTGATCAATGGCACAACTATCAGCCGTTCCACATGGCAGGGTGCTAGGGGTAACCCTGGACTCTGAACTGTCCTTTTGTGGCTACATCCAATCACTGTCCAAATCATGCTGCTTGACCACCGCAACATCTCCAGAATTCTTCCCTTAACCAACGACACCACAAAGCTTCTAATTCACTCCCTGGTCATCTCTACTGCAACTGCCCTCCTCATTGGCTAACCTTTACATAGGCTATCCCCCCTGCAGTCTATTATGAATACTGCTGCTAGACTCATCCTCCTTACCAACCGTTCAATGTCTGCTACCCCTCTCTGCTAATCCCTCCACTGTCTTCCACTTAGCCAACAAATAAAATTCAAAATACTAACAACAACTTACAAGACCATCTTCAACTCTGCCCCCAGCTACATCACCAACTTAGTCTCAAAATACCAACGAAACCGCTCTCTTCTTTCCTCCCAAGACCTCCTGCTTTCTAGCTCCCTTGTTACCAACTCCCATGCTCACCTCCAGGACTTCACCCGAGCTTCTCCCATCCTATGGAACTCCTTACCCCAGTCTGTCTGACTATCTCCTAATCTATCCATCTTTAGACAGTCCCTGAATACCCTTCACTTGGAAGAAGCCTATCCTGTTTCAAACTAATACACTGTGTTTTTACTTTCTCCATCAGCTCCTCCCTCACAGTTATTACCTTTTTGTATCCCTTGAGCCTTCCTCTTAGATTGTAAGCGCTAATAAGCAGGGCCCTCTGATTCCTCCTATATTAAATTGTGTTGTAACTACTTATACTGTCTGCCCTCATTCTGTAAAGAGCTGTGTAAACTGTTGGCGCTATATAAATTCTGTATAAAAGTAATAATAATGATGAAAGTGCAAAAAGAACCTTCAAAAGGCAAAAAACTGTTTGATAATCACATTTTCTTGAGTTCCATAGTGCAGAAGGTGATGTCATCCTCCTGCAACCAACATCCAGATTGCAGAGATGATGATCTTGCACTGTGCTGTCTTCTCAGGAGATGTGGACTAAAAAAAACCATGGTTAACCATGCTTTTACCATCCCAACTGCTGCCCACTTTAGCTGCAGAAGCTGCGGTGTACATCTGCAGCAGCCGTGATGATTTTGCCTCATGGCTGTGACAAGCACTATACCCCTTTTCAATTTTGGTGGGCAGGGGGTAAGTGAATGGGGCTGCTGTACAAGCATCCTGCAAATGCAAGATACTAAGAGTTAAACCAGGTGGAGAGGAGGTGATACAACAACTTCTCACCACCTCTCAAATGATGGATAGATTTGGTCTCAAAAGAGGGTGCTGTGCAGAAGGGCTCATTTACATGGGTGCAGAGACCCGTGCAGGGTGCAAAATCCATTTTTTTTTTTTTTTTTAGACATCTGGACTCTGGAGCTGCATGCAGACAGTATGTCTGTACAAATGAATTGCTAACCACTAAAACCAATGGTTACTATTCCATACTCTTACTCTTGGACTTACTCTGCTGCTGCTGACCACCCCCTCCTCCTCAAAAAACTCTATTTACTTGCTCTCTGTGACTGTACCCTCCGTTGTTTCGAATCTTGCCTATCTCACCGCACCTTCAGTGTCACTTACAACTCTACCTCCTCCTCTCCTACTCCTCTTACTGTCGGGGTCCCCCAAGGTTCTGTCCTTGGACCTCTCCTATTCTTGATCTACATTTCTTCCTTGGGTCAGCTGATAGCTTTCCATGGTTTCCAATACCATTTCTATGCTGATGACACACAAATCTATCTCTATACTCCTCAGCTCACCCCATCAGTTTTCTCATGTATCACTGATTTACTAACAGACATATCATACTGGATGTCACACCACTTCCTAAAACTCAATCTATCCAAAACTGAGCTCATAATATTTCCTCCCCCAAGTGCCTCTTCCCCTGATTTCTTGGTCAGGATCAATAGCACAACTATCAACCCATCCCCGCATGCCAGGGTGCTAGGGGTAACCCTGGAT